CTAAAGAAAGATGGAGACTTTACCTCCTTCATGTTTACATGGATGGAACTGGAAAATGTTCTTCTTAGCAAAGTATCATAAGAATGGAAGAAAAAGTATCCAATGTACACAGCCCTATTATGAAACTAATTTATAGTTCTCAAATGAAAGCTACAACCTAATTCTAGCTCAAGAATATGGGGGTAGGGTGGGAGAGGGGAGGGGAGAAGGGTGGATGGGTGGAGGGAGGGTGACTGGAAAGATTACCTATATGGTCTGTCTAACAAGGGTACAAGTGAATTTTTCTAGAACTAGAGTATAAATGTTTTAACATATAACTAAGTAAATGACACAAAGTCTATGTTAACCAGTTTGATGAAAATATTTCAAATTGTATATGAAAATACTACACTGTACCCCATGTTTGCATTAATGTACACAGCTATCATTTAATAAAAAAAAAAAGAAAATATATGTCCCAGATGTTTGTATTTCATAGCAACTCTTATTTTCATATCTGCAAGTATGCTGAGGTATGGGGTGGGGAGGCCCTGAGTTCCTATCTGAATATACAAATGAGACAGTGCCCTCATTTTCTCAGTTATTTTCTAATGACTTGCTTTCAGTTGCCCTGTCTGCCTTGGCCTTCCTCGGCACTTTTAGATTCAAGTGCCGGGGACCAGTGCCTACTCATGTGGCTCTGGCCAGCTCCTGACCAGCACCCACCAAGTTATCAGGTGCTCCAGCCACCCTCTGGGGTCTGGGATCAGCTGTGCTGTCCCCTCCCCTACTCTTCGCCTCCCCCCCCTTTTTTTATAGACATGTCTTATTCTGTTGCCCAGCCTGGAGTGCAGTGGCTAATCATAGCTCACTGTAGCTTGGTATTCCTAGGCTCCAGCGATCCACCTGCCTTAGCTTGCTGAGTGGCTGGGACTATAGTGATCCACCATGCCAAGCTTCCTTTACCTTGGATATTGAATAGATCCTTTGCTTGGAAGAAGGGGAGAGACATCATATTTTTCTGAGCACTTATTCTGTTTCTACTGTTCATGTCAATCTTACAGTAACCCCCTTCTCTTCTCCCAGTTTCTGTTTTCTTCCCAGTTTTACAGATAAGAAGGGAGGCTCTGGAGGAGTTCAGGAGTCTACCTTTGATCTGGCAGAAGAGTGTGGACCATGGCAGGTCCATTCTCTTCCCCCTGCCCTGGGTAGGAAGTACATGGAACAGCGGTGCTCAAAGTTTTTCCTTTGAAAAAATCTTCCAAACTGTCTGTAAGCAAAATCTTACATACAGCCTACTGTAATTAGCAAGCAGTGTGTCTCTGGCTGGGGGGGCTGTGACCCAGAACCCTGCCCACCTGGGCCCCCTTCCTGCTCCCTGCAGTTGCCAGTCATTTCTTTGTATCCCTCCACACCACACAGGTTTATAATGCTGCTGGGATTTCCCTTGTTGATAGCTCCCTCTGCCTCAATCTCCTTTGCTCCCCATCTCTACCCTGGCACAGCACCCTGTAGAGTGTTGGGGAGCAAAAGAGGATACAATGCTCGCCTGGAGCAGCCTCATACTAACACCTGTACCCTCTGGCTGGCTTGTGGTCATCATTTCTTTCCTTTTTTCCCCTCTGTTAGGACTGATGTTTGCTTTGGGCATTTTCTTGGCCTAGAGACAGGGACCTACTTAGCCCCTCAGGTCTCTGCTCTGGTGACAGGGCACAGAGGAGAGTTCAGCAATGTCACCACAGGCAGCTGCTTCTGCTGTTACCCCAGTCCCACTGCTCATCTTGCTGTCTCTGGGGCTCTCCATGCTCTGGGCACTTGTGGCCCTTAGCAATGGCTCTGTGCATGGCTGCTGGTGCCTAAGGCCTTACCACAGCCAATCCATTCCTATCTCTGGACCTCCAACTGCCCTCATGGGCCAGCAGTGAGACAATGGTTTGAGACATGGCATGAGTTGCTTTTCAGTGGAGCTGGCTGTGAGATGGCACGAGATGAGGCTGGTCAGGCCTGGATCACAGTGTGCTCTGCCCAGCTGTGAACAAACTAGCCAAGGTGGGAACTGGTTTGTTCCAATCCAACTACAACCTGTCTCTGTTCCAGTATTTTAATTATTGCATTAATGAAATGTGAACATAAAAAGGTATGTGCTTTACAAATGTAATTCTGATGTTCTCTTTTGATATTAACTCACATTAATTGCCTCAGATGATACTGATACCCAAACAGAAAAGAAATATGGCAGAAGAATCATGGCTTCTGGGTGGTGCCTATGGCTCAGTGAGTGGGGTGTCAGCCCCATATACTGAGGGTGGTGAGTTCAAATCCAACCCTGGCAAAACTGCAACAACAACAAAAAATAATAAAAAAATAAAGTTTAAAAAAAAAAAAGAATCATGGCTTCTAGTCCTGAGAATGTGCTTAGGGATTGGCAGTAGTGGGGTCAGGCTCTCCTAACACCCCCAGGATCCTGGAGGATCCTGGGGGGTGCGTGTGAGGAGCTCATTATATCAGCCAGGCTAATTCCAAGTGGGAATGGCTAGGACCAAAAGCTCAGGGTAGAGACCCTGCTCACCAGAAATTCGATAAGGCAGCAAGGAATGGTATGTTTCAGCAGGGCTATGTGATGTGAGCAGCAGAAGAAAAAGAAGTAAAACAAGTAAGGTAAAATAGGAGCTGGAAACACAAAAGAAGAGGGAGAGAGTGAGTCAGGAGAGCTACAATGATGTGGAGGGACCAGGGGCCATGAGAGGAGTGAGGTAGGACACAGGTGTACTTTGGATAAAGGTGGAGTAGAACACAGGAACAGGGTGCCCAGTGAAATGCAGGGGCCACTGGTAGGGCATAGAGGTGTCTAGCAAACTTCCTTGGTGGGCTGTAGGCCACGGTCATAGCCAGCATGAGCTCTGGGGGAGCCAAAAGAAAGTCTTAGGGCAAGGTCTTGGGTCCCTATGTCTCAGAGGGACCCTCTACAAGCCCCCTCCTCTCAGATGGCTTAGTCACCAAGTGAGTGGAGAGCAGTGTGGTACCTGCATGATGCGGACGTAGTCAGTACGGTGCAGCTCACCCTCCTTGATCACCTTCTTCTTGAGAGTGGCCAGGTTCCTCTCCAGGTGCTCCCGCTGCCGGGCATACTCCTGCTGCAGGTCTGTGTTCAGTCCTGCGATCTCCACCTGAGGGGGCCAAGAGGATTCTCAGTAGGGAGGCGGGGGGGCACTGAGGGTAGGGCAGGGCAGGAGCAGAGGCTGAGCTCACCATGTCTGCCCGCTGCACGTACTTCATAAAAAGAGCCTGGATCTTCTCCTTCAGCAGCCGAGGCTCTTGGAAGTAAGCCACACAGTTGTGAAGGTCTGTCTTAAACCGTCTCACCAGGGCTTCCAAATCCCGTTCCTGCAACCAGAGACATTTCCTTCTGGCACTGTAGGGTGCTCTCCAGGGGAAGGGCCAGGGACTGCAGGCAGAGAGAGGCTAATGGCACAGGAAGGGACAAGAGACACTTCATGGGGACTTACAGCTGACTGACAGGGGTCACGCGGGGCCTGGAGACCTAAATGGGCAACACAGCCGTGAGCTGGAGGCACTAAAACTCTTGTGCAACTGCCCTGGGCTGGGCACCTGGCCTGAACAGCCTACATGGCACTTCATCCTTAAGGGCCTATACTCATAAGGCTCTGGATTCCCTTCAGGACCGAAGCCGTTAAAAGATGAAAGGATGCTTGCTATATTCCTTTAGAGCCAAGATAGAAGGCACCATTTCCCAGCCCAGGCATTTAAGGTCTCTTTTCTTAGCTCACAGGAGCCCTGTTATGAGCAGGCGGTAGGGGGAGGATGTGGGGGTGTGGTGGGAAATCATTCAGTTGGGTGGGTTGAGAAGGGCATGATAACTCTCCATTCATGCTCATAGCTCTGCAACTTCCAGAGTCATCTAGTTGGGTGGGTTGGTTCACCTGCACATTTGGGCTAGTCCCCCTCTCCATGCAGCTTTTATCCACCTCTTCCTTCCCTGACCTGGATAGTCTCCCCTTTCCTTTGTTCCCAGAGCCTTTTCTACACATTCCATATTCTCCTACCTTGCAACATCATTATTATGCACACCCCCATTATTTGCTTCCTCAGCTTGAGAAGGGCATGATCTCTCTCCATTCATGCTCATAGCTCTACAACTTCCAGAGTCACCTAGTACAGAGCCAATGCCTAATGCAGGGGGTGGGAAAATCCAATGTGATTTAACAAACATGGAGTGGTCTGTGCTTGGGGACAAGAGCACAGCTGAGTAGGGTCCTAGGCCCAGAAGACTCCGTTCCCAGAGCTGGCTGTCTGTGTAATCCTAGCCATGGGTGTGGAGTGAAGTCTCTTAACCTCCTGATTTCTCTGACTTTACTTTCCTTACTTGTAACACAAAGAGCTGGAATAGATGATTTTTGAGGTTCTAGCTTTATCTATGTTTTGGTAGTTAAAGCCTTACACCAGTGACCACAAATAACCTCTCTGAGCATATTCTTTCCTGGGCCAAACTAGCCAAATGCTCCTGAGAAACTGGCTTTGCACACCTTGATCACTTTGCCCAAAGTCATTTAATAGTCTCATATGGCTTCAGGCACATAGCGTAGGTTGTACCTGAAATCAGGCAGGGTTGTGAGCAAGTAGAGAATGTGAGTTAAAACTGCATCTCCACCGTGGGCTGGCTCTGACTCTTGGAAGCCAGCTATCCTTTGGGGATAAGTGCCAGATCCTGAATCCAAGACACCCCACATACCTTCTGTCTCTCTCTGCCGATCTCCTTGTCAGTGGCTCTTAATTTCTGCAACAATTCCGCAATGTTCAGTTCCAGTTGTGTGTTCTGCTTATGAAAACGCTCCAATTCAGTTTCCATCTGTGGAGAACAAGGGAAAGAGTTAAGAACAAGAAAGCTAATGGAAATTATCTTTGAGAGATGACGTCTTTTGGTGGGAATGTTTCCTTGGATACCAGGACATTGATTTTTTTTCTAGTTCCCACATAGGTCCTCTAGATCAAAACCTTTCTTCTTACTCTTTGCCACCCTAAAATCTCCCCTCTCCTATGACTGAGAAGTTAAAGTAGGACGTTGTAGTTCTCTGGCTAGGCTGAGAAGTCTCCCTCCTGGTCACTTACCCTTTCCTTCCACCATCCTGATTACTTCCTTTCTTGAGTTCCTTATAAATTGCTAACACTCAGGGACCTCAACTCCAATGAGAGGCAGGGTTCCCCAGAGAAGCACCTTCCTACCTGCTTTGTGAGGTTGTAGGATAAATTTTGATCCTCTGGGGTCATAAGTCCTTCAAAACAGAAAGTCTGGAGTTGACTCTAAAGCAAAAGGTTTTGGGGGACAAAACCTGACTTCAGGCATAAAAAGGAAAGGGTTCTTGGCCTTATCATTCTGTGAAAATGTCTTTAAAAAGTACAACACAGAAGTGTCTGCCTTCAAAAGAAAAATAAGGAACCACCAGTGAGCTTCTGAAAGATTTCTAGATTTATTGGTGCATTTGCATTAACCCAAGAAGGAAGAATGACAACTGGAGTGTCTGATTTAGGATGAGACTAGCTGTGCGTGACCTTTCAGTTGACATAATTCCTATCCAAAGCAAAGAAGTGATGTTTGATTTACATACTATATCTGGTAGACATGTCAACAGAGAGGGTTAGTGACTGTTCTAAGAGGACAGGAGAGTTCACTGGGTTTTTTCATGGCTGGGTAGAGTTTTCCCACTTGTCTATCATACCAGGTCTTTTGGTAAAATTTCAAGGCTCTTGGCAAGATTCTGGGGTGCCAGGAGGCTCCAATGAGAGACAGTCACATTATGGACAAAGCTTTTAGAAGAACATTTTCCTCATTATTGGAACCATTTTATATAGCTACAATAGCCCTTGCATAAAGGGTGCACTAACTATACAGTTGATGAAGGAATGATTGAGTGACAAGTATGGTGGGCAAAGGGGAACAATAGTGAGGGTCACGAGGAGGGCCTGAAACAACCTGCTAAGATAGATAGGTAGTGCTGGTGGACCTATGTACAGCCCTGGGACACACATCAAATGTGGGTATTTGCACAGTTAAAGAAAGAATGTGCCTATAACAAGGGGCTGCCCAGCTGTCATAGGCTTAGAGATATAAATCTAAGGAAGAGGTAGTTTCTGTCTTCCAGAGGCCTTAGGTCTTCAGGGGTAAGAAAGAAACCCAAAGTTAAGGTGGAACAGGATACACACCATCTGAAGAGGAGGTAGAAAGCACCCTCTGTGTACACAGAAAAGGTGAGTAGGTGGCACCCAAAAAAGGGAAGCTTCAGCTAGGTCTTGTAGGAAGAATAAATGTTCTAGGACAAAGGGGAAAGGCAATTACAGAAAGAAAAGCCTGCACACAGAGAAGACCAGAGGCGTAGGCAGTCTGGTGTTTCTATGCAGCTACAAGTGGTTCAGGAGGGGGCATCTGAGTGAGAGGAGAGAGGGTGGCTGGGCAGGGTGCCTGAGCTAGGTCACAGGGGACCCAAGGGCAGAGACTTGAAAGATAAGAAGTTTGGCCTTTATCCTGTATGCTCAGGGAGGCACTGGAGTTTGCCCCAGGGGGTTGGCATGATCTAATTTGCATCTCAGAGGGCCTGATGCAGAGGTTCTACTGCAAAGAGCAAGACTGGAGCCAGGTAGACAAGGCAGGAGGCTGGTGCTGAGGCCTGCGAAAGAGCATAGTGTCCCAGGCCACTGAAATGGCAGCTGGAAGAGAGATAGGGGGCTTCTCCAGTTTGCAGGGCTCTAGAAGTGCATGTCTAAGTGCCTGCGGCTGACTGTGCCTCTTTCTCTACAATCTTAAATCAGCACGGTCAGATTAGGTTACAATGGAAGAGATATGGAATGTATTATTTACCACTCATCTTTTTTTCTTCCCAGGCAAAGCTTCAAACTACTCTAAGAATAAAAGTAATCCCTCTTATAGAAAAATTGTGAAACATGTCAAATGTGAGTAGCTGGCTACATAGCCAAACCACTAGAATAGTCGTGGAAGTATGGAAATTCCATCTACTTCTCCACGCCCTTTTCATCATACTCAAAGATTCCCAACAGGCATTTTGCCCCCCAGGGGACATCTGGTGATTCCTGGAGACATTTTGTTGTCATACCTTAGGCAGGGGGTGCTATTGGCATCTAGTGGATAGAGAGCAAGGATGCTGCTAAACATATCACAATGCACAGGACAGACTCTCTGCAAGAGAGAATTATACACCCCCCAAATAGCCATAGCACCAAAGTGGAGAAAACCTGTACTAGATGTATAAACAAATGAGTATAAACTAAAAGGACAAGGTTCTGGAAACCTCTCTACTAGGAGGGACACAGGGACACTTGAATCTTCAGAGGGAAGCTGGAAAAGTATAAGGGGAGGTACCTGAGTCACGGAGGTATTATTAGAGGTCCCTGAGGGCTTGGAGCTTCCTTCCTTCAGGAAATGAAACTTCATAGGTGATCCACAATGGGTGGGCCAATGGAGTCTACAACCCTCAGAAGGAAGCCCCAGTCAGAGGACCCTGGAAGGAGCCAGGCCCAGATATCAGGCCTGACAGCAATTGACACCACTTCAGAGGGCAGGAGAGGCTCTTTTTGAGTCCCTTCTAAAGTACAACCATATTCCCTGCTAAGAATCAAGGCCATGGTTGGCTTGTTACTTCTTCAAAAGGGAAATAATTGCCCAGATTTGTTGGGATGGAAAGTAAGCTGAGCTTTAGCAAACTACTGACCCAACTTTAAATCCAGCTGACAGAGAGATTTGTCAAATGAGGGCACAGGGCAGTGATTTCCAGGGGCTTACAGTGGGTTCACCTTCCAGGGGGGTGGGAGCTCTGCTTGTTCTCCCATCTTTGTAGGCTGCTGCTATTGTCTAAATTCATATGTAGATACCTAACCCCCAATGTGATGGTATTAGCAGTTGAGGGCAGTGGGAGATGATTAGGTCACTGGAAATAAGCCTTCCTGAATGGCATTAGAACCATCACAAGAGGGATCACAGTGACCTCGTCAGCCCCTTTTGCCCTTCTGCCTCATGAGGACACATAGCAGATGCCATCTATGATGAACAGGCCCTCAACAGACACCAAATCTGCTGGAGTCTTCATCTTGGCCTTCCAGCCTCCAGAACTTTGAGCAATAACTTTCTATTGTTCACAAATCACCCATTCTAAGGTAATTTAATATAGCAGCCCAAATGGATGAAGATAGGTGCTATCTTTGGGCCCTGAAGCCACTTGAGAATGGCAGGAAGCACAGAGGACTCAGCCTTGTGGTCAGCCAGGGGCATCCTTCCTCATCTCAGAAGCCTGGGAAAAAGTCATTGCCACAAAGACCCTCTCTGGACCCCCCCAGCCTTGGCCTGACCCCCGTGAGACTTCTTTAGTGGCCTGCCTAAAGCAAAGGCTTCGCTGGGCAGACTGGCTCCACCACAGTTCTTGGATGTCCCATTCCAGTTGGTCATCAGTGCCCTCTGACACCCTGGTTCCTATTATCCTTGTTCAGCACAATAGTTGCAGGGGTGTCCAATCGTGACCTGTGGCATGCCATGAATGCTTATCTAAGAGTTATCTTGGGCCATGCATTAAATACACAAACATTAATGAATGCTGATGTTAACAATGTTTCATGCATAATTTTCGTGATATCCACCACCATCGATAAGCATTCACAGCCAGCTGGGGTCACAGTTGGACACCCCTATAGAGGACACACAAGGGGAGCAGGAAGCTATTTTGTTTAGGGTGGTCAGGGAAGGCTTCCTTGAAGAGGTGACATATCAGCTGAGGCCTGAAAGATGCAGAGAAGCCAGTCATGTGAGGATCTGGGGGAAGGGCCTTCCAGGCAGAAGGAGCAGCCCCACAAAGCCCTGAGATGGAAAAGCTTGGTTTGTTGTAGCAACTGTCAGAAAGCCAGTGAGCTGAAGCAGGGGAGGGAGTCTTGAGAGGAGGCAGGGGAGATGGAGAGGCCAGATCATGCAGAGTCTGTGGGCCTGGGCTGAGACTGGTTTTTATTCTGGCTGGGACAGGACCCTTTTGGGGATTCACTCTGGCCTCTATGACTGGCACCTGGAGTCAAGTCCAGATAAGAGAATGGATGGAGGTGACAGCTGCAGGGTGGAAAAATGGTTGGATCTGAGATCTTTTTTGTAAAATGATCAGATAGGCATTGGTTTTGATTTGGATACAGGCATTAAGGGAAGGCAGAATTAAGAAAGACTTTTACATTTCTACCTTAAGTAACTGGGTGAATCATGGTACCATTTACTGAGGAACAGGAAATTGGAGGAAAGGGGTGGGAAAGATCAACAATTCACTTTTAGATTAACCATGTACTTTACCATCAACTGTTTTCTGCCCAGTAAGGGGAAGCTGACACATGACAGGTCAACACCTGTGGTAAGGAAATGCCACCTGCAGGGATCCATGGGACTAAGAGGAACACTTGTCCCTCCCTGGATGCTGAGAAACTTTTGTCCAATTGATCTTGCCTCTAACTCTTTCCTCTCCACCTTCATCCTGTTTGCTTCTCAGAACATACTCCTAACTATGCCACTCTCCTGCTCAAGAGTCTTTGATGACTTCTCATTCTTTATCAGATGAAGTACAAATACTATGGCCTCACCTAGGGCCTCAACCAACATTTCCAGTTTGAGAAGAAACATGACCAGGTGGGTGGGGTGGGGTGGGGTTGAGTGTCCTAGCAGGATGGCTTGTTGGCTGAGCACACAGTTCCCCCTGGTGGCCAAGGGCTCAACAGCTGCATATCTCTTTTAAGGGCGCAGAGGCAAGGCCAAAGTTCCTCCCAGGGTCCCCTGGCAAGCTAAATCTCAAATCTGGGCCACAGCCTTCCCTGTGGAGCCACTGTGGAGGAGGCTGCAGACATCTGGGGAGCAATGAGAGCTCGAGGAAAGCTTCTTTTCATTTCCCCAGGCGAGCTAGCAAGAGTGGAAAAGGAAGACAGAGGGTCTGAGGGGCTAGAGTTTCACAGATGGCTTCTTACCTCCTGAATCTGTTCCTTCATCACCTTGATCTCATTCTCTCGAGGTTCTATTTGCTTTTTCAGCTCCTTTATTTTGTAGTCAAGCACAAACTTGAATTTCTCTAGTTCTTGATTTTTCTTTTTCAGGTCATAAATTCGTTTCTCCTGGGGGTGTGTGAGAGATGAAAGAGTGAGAGATATCATAAGGCCCTGGTGTTTGAAACCCCTTTAGGACAAAGAACATAAATCCCACAACTCCCCAGATTGGAGAGGTACAGAGGCTGACTCTCTCCCCACAAGGCAGCAGCACTGACTCCTTAGTTTCCGTACTGAGACCTTCATTCATCCACTCAGGTACTTGTTCATGTATAGGTTGTGGACAACCCTATTTTCCAAAGATGGCCTCAACAGCATTGCTCATTCCACACTGTAGCTTGTTTACAATGTGACTTTGCTGCTTCTCCATCAGTAAGTAGAAGCTTATTCCCTCCCCTTGCATCTGGCTACTTAATGATGTGCTAGTAACCCAAACAATGCAGCAGAAGGGATGCAGCCTGGCATCCAAGGTGAGGTCAGAAGAGGCCAAGCAGCTTCCATTTGACTGTCTCGGGACACTTGGTCTGGGTAATGCCATCTGCTATGCAAAAAGTCTGAATACACAGAACCCTCCAGGCTGGAAGGTGTTAAGAACCCAGGTTAAAAGACCCAGCTGAGCCCAGCTTCTAGGCCATCTCTGCCAAGGTGTCAGACACATGATTGAAAAAGCCACCTTGGATGCCGATCAGCTTCTAGCTGTTTGAGTCACCCTACTCTTCCTAGCTGAGGCCTTCAGGGTCAGTGACAAGCCAATCTGTAATACAAGGTCAGTGACAAGCCAACCTGTAATACCCTATCCAAATTCTGACCCACAGAATCTGTGAGAAAAATAAAACAATTGTTGTTTTCAATTGCTAAGTTTTAAAGTAATTTGTTGCATGGAAATAGTAACTGGAATATAGGCCTGTCCATCTAGCAGGCACTTACTGGATGAAGGCCTTTTGCCAAGTATAAGGATTCCAAATATAAATATGACACAGCCATGCCCTTAAGAGAGGACAGTAGCTAGGCAAACAGATGTATAAATTAATATAACCCTAAAGTGTGGTAAGTGTTGCCTAAGAGGAAGGCACAAAGACACAGCATTTATTGAGGGTGCTGAGAAGAACTGGCTTGAGTGTCAAGTGGTGGTTTGTGGGGGAAGGGCAGATTGAGGATGAGGGAAGCCAGGGAAGAAGACAGGGGGTCTTCAAGTTGGGTCAAAGAATTCAGAATTTATCTCATAGGGGTTGGCCAACTACAGCCTGTTGGCCAAATTTGACCTGTTATTTTTGTTAAATTTTTACTGAAACATAGCCAAGTTCATTCATTAATGTTTTGTCTATGGATGGTTTCACATATATAGCAGCTGAGCTGATTAGCTGAGATACAGACCATACACAGCCTAAAATACTTACTACCTGGCCCTTTACAGAAAAAGCGAGCTCACCTCTATAGGAGTAATGGGGAATACACAGGGGTTTGAGTGGGTGAGCAGCATCATTACACTTGTTTTCTAGCTGTGCATGGGTGGTGGGAACCAGGGGCAGAGGTGGGAAGCAAGGCTATTAGGTCAAGTAGGAGGCTGACTGGGGGGACCATGTGGGCAGTTGTGCAAGTGACCTGCACTCAGTCCATGGGGATGTGTCACAAAGGATGCCTGAAGCAGTGGACCCAGCTATCTCAGGTTCTTATCCTTAGACTGTCCCCTGTAAAGAGTGTGACCTGGGGCAAGATACTCAGCCTTTTGGGACACAGCTTCCTAAGCCATAACCTGGGTTGCATATGCCCCTGATGTGCTGGTAGAATTGAATATTTTATAGTGATGGCAATTAGCCTAGTGCCAAGCATACAGTAAGGCACTTTACTAGGTCAGGAGGCCTGAATATCTTTTTTGAGTAAAAACCACTTTGAGAATCTGAAGAGAGCTTTGGAACCTCTCTTAAAAAACAACAAAACAGGCTCGGCGCCTATGGCTCAAGTGGCTAAGGCGCTAGCCACATACACCTAAGGTGGTGGGTTCGAATCCAGCCTGGGCTGCCAAACAATGATGGCTGCAACCAAAAAATAGCCAAGTGTTGTGGCTGGTGCCTGTGGTCCCAGCTACTTGGGAAGCGGAGGCAGGAGACTCGCTTGAGC